TGACATTACATTTAATAAAATAAAATCCAATACTTAGAATTGTGTCAATAGAAAAAATTATAACTTATGAATATACCTCTGTTTTAGACAGAAAATGATATTTAAAGAAATTAACTAATAAGTGTATGTGTGTGTAAATGTGTAAAAGTAATTACAGAATAATTATTAATTAACTCACCAATTATAACTTATTAAAATTTATATCTCTTTTTTTTAGACAGAAAAGTCTCTTATTCCTAGTCTTCTAGTTACACCTGTAGTAATATTCACGTATTCACTTTTACTTCTCTTTTTTTTATCTCTTATATTCTTTTTCTTTTTAATGGTCTTTAAATAAATTCCTTTTTTATTTTAGAAAAAATCGAAAAATCAAAATTGATTTTAATATTTAAAATTTTAGGGTCACCAAATTTTAAATTTGTAATCAATTCTGAAATCCTTTATTATACGTAAAATGAAAAAACTAAATCTTCAAACCACAAAAAAACGAGGTTCAATATTTTTATTACTTTTTTCTTCTTTTAAAATTCTCTTTTCTTTGTTAATAATCTTTATCAATTTATTCTTTTTCTCACACAAACTGTTTTCTCAAATATTTTTTACTTTTAATTCAATTTATTTCGAATAACTTTGTTACACATTAAAACTAAAATGTGGCAACATAGCATAATATCTTTTAATTCTTTAACTTCAAGACTTGCTACCAGCCAGCGAGCCTTGAAGTTAGACATACGACACCCCGATAAACCGAGCTTTGTCAGCATTTAATGTCCACGTTCGTGACTTTCAACCGGCACTAAAGGAAGCCGTAAAATGAAAATAATATTCCCAACTTGTCCCTAACATTAATTCAATCTTAGAATAAGATGTTTAAAATATGGAACGTTGTGTTACGCCACATTATCGTAACAAAAATTTTACAAAATTTTATATTTTATTTATCATTAATTAAAAGTAATTAATGAAATGCATGCTTAGCATTTTGAAATCGCGCAGAAAATGAACTCGGTTCAAAGACCGTAAGCCTTTTCTTCCGTCTGAAAGTACTATTTCAGCAATTAAATTGTTTTATTTTCATGACTTTCAGGTAAATCAATTAATGAAGGGCTATCATTTTTATTATTTTTATGATTCAAGAAACAACAACTACATAAGCAAATGAGTGTGTGTGTATACGTGTATATATATATATATATATGTTGCCTATTTTATTTAAAATAAAATGTAAAGGAAAAATTATTAACTATATTAGAATTAAAATAATAAAATACAATATATATATGTATATATATATATATATATATATACACGAAGAATAGACGTGAGGCTACACTCAACGCGTTGAGTGAAGACTTCCCGCGCTCCCCACGCTCCCCTTGACATTGTGCGAGAGAGAAAGAAGATTGTGTATAGCATCGAAGCAAAATTTATAACAATTTTTCAAGGACAATAAATAGTGCGTATTGTGAAATCTTCGCCCGTCGGCAAAAATTCTGGCGGTAGACTTAAGGTTCCAGAACGGGTAAGTAATTGTATCGTTCTGGTTAGTTTTACCCCATCCTCCTTTCTTTTATTGTTTGAGAGGCGGATGGATCCTTTCTTAATTTACAATAATAAATCATAACTATTATTCTTAATTTTCTTTCTATTAATTTCTTATATTCTCCTTACCCCCCCCCCTCCTTAATTAATTTCTGAATTTTCGGCAACTAGGAAACACGAATCCCAGTAAGATAAACAGAGCTCACGCTCTGGCAGTTTGAATTCCTCCAACAAACTGGAAAATAGGGCCATCTCAAAAGCCCAAAATAATCATTATAGTTAAATCAACTATATTAATTATTTAAATATTTTCTCGTTCGTAACAAACTGATGGTGGCAGCGGTGGGATTTTTCCTGACGTTGCTACCCCTTAGAATTTAAGGGAGGAATTCTCATAAAAGGGATTTCTATTTCATTTCAAAATTTTCACTTAATAAATTCTTTCTTATTTTTAAATTTTCAAATTTCTTTATATCACCTCTTTCTTTCTAACAATGGGTATGTTGAAATGGAATTAAAAATTATTTTAATTCAATTTTGGGACCTTAATTGTAGATAGTCCGTGACGACAAGTCTCCGTGATTCGCTCACTGGAAGACAAGTCTCCGAAATTCTACTCTTAAAATAATCCTAAGCAATACATTCCTTTTGTTGAGAGGATAAGTGTTTTGGTCTATTTTTAAGTAAATTCTCTAATTATCCTTTCTTAAGTGAAAATATATTTTTTTTCTTTTCTCAAAAATTAAAAATTCAAACTAAACGTTTAATTTTTAATTTTTAATTTTTGTTATAGATAGTCCGTGACGACAAGTCTCCGTGATTCGCTCACCGGAAGACAAGTCTCCGAAATTCTATCACAAAATAATTTTTAAAATAATATATCACTCTATGGAAAGAATAAGGTGTTGTTTAATTTTTATTCTTAAATACATTCTCTAATTATTCTCTCTCAAATAAAAATATTTTTTTTTTCTCTCATAAATTAAAAATTCAAACTAGACGTTTAATTTTTAATTTTTGATTTTTGTTATAGATAGTCCGTGACGACAAGTCTCCGTGATTCGCTTACTGGAAGACAAGTCTCCGAAAATCTATTACAAAATAATCCTAAAAATATTTTATTTGTTGTGAAAGAATGAGAAGAATTTTTGTTACTATGATAAATCACAATGTCGAATAATTTTAGACAAAGAGAAAAGAAAACTCGCAGAAAGAATAGACCAAAGAGAAAAATCAAATATGACAATTCTAATCAAATCAATCTATATTTGTACTTATAAATAAACAGAAGGAAATTTTTCATTAGATGGAAAAGCGGTAAAATTTTCTAAAACTCTACCATCTCTCAGACAATTTTCCCTGCAACCTTTCATTTTCCAACTAACAATTTTTCTCTAATTTTTTTTTGGGAGAATTTCTTTTTTTTTATTTTTGGACTTTTCTGTTTTAACACAGAATCAAAATTTAGAATCACATATTATAAGAGAATAAGTATTTTCTTGATTCCATTTCCATTTTTTTTATGCGTATTCCATGCAAGTTACAAGGAATATTCCGCGGTGGCGATGAAAAATAATCACTAATTTAAAAATGGAATTAGAATCGGGAAAGAAAGGAAAATATTTTTCCCTATATGCTTTTCCTTATTTCATCTTATTTTTTTTGTATGCAAATGAATAAAATATCAGTTATGAATTAATTGGTTTATAATGCTCTCCAATTTGTCTCCAAGAATAATCTAATTATTCATAAAAAAAAAAAAAAAATATTTTTCTAGTGGCAATATAAACAATAGATTATTAACATTAAAAAAAAAAAAATATCGCAACTCCAATTTTATTCTATCAAAAAAAAAACAGTTGAAAAGAAACCTATCATTTGGAATTCATAAATATCTAATTTTATAAATTTAAAATTTTTGCAATTTTAATTTAAAATTTCTTTGATTCCTAAAAAAAAAGGGTGTGATTTAAATTTTATAATTGTTTTCTTATTTCCTCTATTAAATGCAAGAAAGTATTTGTCATCATTCTTCATGTATCGAGTTACAAAGAACGACCATGACTCTTTAAACGCGAGTATACTGGGTTACATCATTACGTCCTTGTAATTAGAATCTTCCGCATAATTTTAAGAAATACTCAAATACAACTAATAGTAAATAACAATCTGTTAAATTATCTTTTTTTTTATTTCAATTTTTTTTTCTCTCTCTTGAAAATTAATATTTCAATACAATACAACTAAAAATTTATTTTTATTTTTTTTTCACTAACAGTTAATAAATGTCTTTTATTAATGGAAAAGAAAAACAGTTACAAAAAAAAAATTAAAATATTTGTGATTCTTTCAAAGGATTTAAGAATCATGATAAATCAAAACATCAACCTCGAAATAAAATTAAGTCAATTAAATTGTAATATCGGCTAAACTGTAAATAAGTTTTTTTTTATATTATAAATAATAATCGATAAGTAAATAAATATAAATGAAAGTAAAACTTAATTATTTAATAAAGATAATATGATCAACAAATATAATTAAGGATTTTCAAAAATAATAGACATGATAATAACACTAGCTATCTAAGTCCAGGTGGATGGCTAGTTTATATTATTTCTACAATCACTAATTAAATTATAATTATAAATTTAATAAATTAAGTAAAAATAAAAAAAATAAAAATATATATATATAGTAGAATTCTTAGGATAGAAGTTTTAGTATATAAAAAAGAAAAAAAATATATGTGTAAATAAAATTATAATAAACAATAATAAAAAAAATTATTATTAATATAATTATTATCATTTAGAATAAAAAAAAAAAAAAAAAAAAAAGCTAAATAAGTAATTTAACAAAAGTGAATTTATAAAATATTATTTTAATTTATTCCTATATGTAAATAATTGAATTTAGTTAAAAATAAGTTTTATTAAAATTATAGTTAAACGATATGATTTTTAGCATTAATTGCAATTAATTTTCAACATTTTTATTTTATTAATTTCCCAATTAATAAATTTTCAACAATAACAATAAGATGTACAATATAAAAATATTAAATTTATTAATACAATAAATAATATGCTATGTATTAGTAATGATAACACAATAATTAACTAATTAATTAATTCTAATATGTTTAACATGTAGATTTAGTAATGAAATAATTACATTAACAAATAAACAGATTAATAAACAATTATAAATAAAATTTATTTAAGTAAAATAAATAAATAATTAATGATTTAATGTTATGGTTATAAATAATATCTAATAAATATGGTATTAAAAATATATGCATATTATTAAACAAATAATTGTCTCTTGACCTTGCATTTTTTTTTATTTTAGATCATAATCAACAAAACAAAATTTGAAGCTTTTAATTGTACTTATTTAAATATATATATGAGAAATAATTGATTTTAGTTAAAATAAAATCTAGTAATATGACCCTAGCCGTTATTGACATATTTGTTTGGATATTAAAAATTTAAATATTAAAGGTTGTCGTAATTGGTTGTTGGTTGTTGTTTTTGTTTTTCTCTTGCATCATAATTATTTTTATATTAAAATCTAGAATTTTATTCCCTCTCTTAAATCATAACTAATCAAAATTGGTATGACGTTAATTATTATCGAACAATTTGTTTCATTTTAAGATAGTATTAAACCTTAATTTTCTTAAAGTTTTAAATGATTTGATGGATTCTTAACAAATAATTTCAAATCTAGAAAGACCTCTTTAAAACAAATGAATAAATAAGTTAAATGAGAAAAGTTACAATTTATATACTAATGTGTGTACTAACATAAAGACGTGGGATCATGAATTAAACACGTCAGCAGAATTGCAAAAATAAAAGAGACTACTATATTTATTTCAAGAATTCACCTGAAGGTTACACTAGAATACTTGAATGTCAATTCTTATAAAATACATTAATATAGTTCCACAATTTTTTTTTGTGTTGTTTAAAGTTTCGTTAAAATAAGACATTGATATAAAATAATTTTTATTGCTTATTTAATACTTATAAAACACGTTGCCTGATTATACATGTCCCAGCCAACCTTATTTTAACACCCCAACCAAACGGTGTTCAATTCCACAGCCCATCTCTAAAAAAAAAAAGGGGAGAGAAAGCAACATTAAAGAAAGAAAAACTCGTATATTAATTTTTCAAGTAGTTAGTATATTTGTTACTCACTGTTTCCCAGCGATGACGCAATAAGGTTAATTCTTCCCAATCTTTTTCATACTCCTGTATAAAAATCAATTCAATCGCCGGGTTTACAGGGCGGTATCCCCGACGCCGTGGAATTGCATAAATATGACAATAATCGCTGAAATAGAACAGAAAGTAAGGTACAAATATATATAGATTAACATTTTATTAAAATAAATGTAATATTAAATTGATTTTTTTTTCTCTCGATTTTTGGGGGACGTGTATAGAGTGTTTTTCTTTTGCCTTTTGTGTGCGTCTTCCAGGGGTCGGTTGAGTTAATTTATTAAATAATTGTGGAAGAATTTACTAAATATTTAATAAACGTATTACTTACAATTGGGAGATATTTACGCCCAACGGACCAATGACTTTCTCCATTTGCTCTGATTGCGGAATGGCAATCACTGATGGAAATATGAATGACGAGGGACACCAATAATTCCTCGTCTCATAACGTTGTCCCCATACCCAACGATATTCTTGTGTCCAAGTGTAATCCTCTTGGGCACAGGGAGTCCCTTTGGACGCCTCTTCGTCCAAGGGCCAACAATAATGCCAATCAGCCCTAGGAGGTGCCTCTTTCCAGTGTGAGACAGTTACATGAACACTAAAAAAAATTTCAGTTTGTGTCTTATACATATTGTAATAATGGAAATGATCTATTAACCATAAAATTGATTTCCTTTAAATCATGTTCTTAATCGTTATCAGAAAATAATTTTTGTAAAGCTTTTAGAAATAATTATCTTGTTTATAAATGGTTTAACAATTAATAATAATAATAAAAAAAAAAAATTTTTTTAATTATTAATCCTAACGAAATATTAACAATCTTGGACAATTATGATAATATAACTAAATTACAATTACTAATAAAATACTTATAGTAAAAGAAATCAAAAAAAAAAAAAGAAAAAAAAAAAAAAAATTTTTTTTTTTGCTAAATGGTTGTTTTGAGAATATAAATGTTTAACTTCATTAAGGACAAATGTGAATTCAAAATAATAAAACCAGAACTTGTTAGTAAATTATACCTCGGTTTTCAGAACTAATTTAATTAATGCTTTAATTTTTTTTTTACAAACATCAAATAGAAAGAGAACATAAGTAAACTTACCCACGTTCGCCATTCCGGATTCTGGTTTGCAGCTTCTGTTGAATTTCTGCTTGTTTAAATGACAGCAAAGAATCACTATCAGTCACATTATTTCGAACTAACTCCAATGCAGTCATTGCAGCGGAAAATTCAAATACATTTACACTTTCCATTTTTATTATTATTCTTTTCTCACCTTCTTGTTTGAGAACTCTTTCAGTACTAAAAGGATGTAACGATAATGCGCTTCAAGTTGGGGCTCAGGATCATATTTTTGCAACACGGCAGAAATTTTCTTCTCGAAATCTTAGTATTCAACAATATATAAAGAACATATAATATATACACATCCACTCTTTTAATATCATTATTTAAAATTGCTTAAATTTTATCTCCTTTTCTATTCTGGAAACAAATTTACAGGAATATTCCGCGGTGGCGAAAAAGAAATGTATAAATTTCGATTAAAATATAATTTTTATTAATAATCTTATTGCTCCTTTATATTCTTTTCTCCTCAAAATTTAAAATCAATTTTAATTAATTAAATTAATAATTAATATTTTTTATGACTTCTTTTCCACCTTTGTTATAAAGGTTATGAAAGAAAGTAGTCAATTATTTATAGCAATTTTGCCGCCTGCATTTGAGAGAATTAAGGATGGGTCAAACTAATGGTCATTTTTTTTTAAATTAGGGGACACTTACGGAAAGGCAGGTAAAGGTTACTTGGTGTTACATCATAATCATCCCCGCATAAAAGTACCGTAATTACAAATACCCTATAAAGATGAGTGATTAAAAGAATGACTTTTCTCATTTCTTTCTCTTGTATGATGAAAATAACGCGCTAAAATAAGTAATTTTAATAACACAATGTAAATGAAATTTAATCTCATCAAATATATTAAATTTGGAGTATTCTTTGAGACAAAATGGAGAGCTATGTTTTCATTTGCAATATATCTTTTTTTAATTTTTTTTATAACAGGAATGTTGTTTATTTTATAATAAATAATATTCTTGCCTCTCAACGTGACGAATACAATTAACGAATACAACATAACGAAACGTGACTCACTGAAAACTCTGAACATAACCTAACAATATAAGACAAAATTCATAAAGCATTTTAATTTGTAGCAGGAATTATCCGCGGTGGTGATGTAAACATCACTTTTAACCGTGGATGAATCTTGATACTTTTTGTGCCCAATTTCAGACCAAAGTTATAAATATATATATATAATCAGTTAATATTCACAGTTGACCAAGACATACATACGAATACATGAAAACAACTAAGAAATTCCTGACAAGTAATAACAAAATAATGGTTGCCAATTTTAACCATTATTTTCCACTGAAACTATTATTAACAATTTTTGTCTAAATTTTAGGTCTAAATAAAATTGATGACGCAACTTCTATTCCCAATTTGACAGACATAATTTCGAATATTTATATTCAGATGAATGAGAAAATCAAGGGCCAATTCAACAAAATTTTAAAAAAACCAGAAGTGGATCGTCATCAGTCACTCAAAACCCACTGGTGAAGGAGTCCTTTTCTTCTTCTTTCCTTTTTTTTTATCAACGAACCTAATTCGATTGCTATTTGGTAAATGAGACAAGATAACACACCTCAAATAAATGTATCTTTCTTTTCTGATAGATAGTAGATAACACAATGAGACAAAAATTCTCTTATTCTTATTTTATTTATATGTTAAACATTTAAAATTCGTTCGACGTGTGTTATCAGTTAAAATGGAAAATTAATGTTTACGCATCTAAATTACTAAATTATTTGTCTAAATTAAATTCAATTATTTCACGTAAACAATATTGTAAATCTTATAAAATTTTCCAGACTAAAATATAAATTATTTAGAAAGGGGTATAAACTTAAAATACACATACTAAAAAAAAACAATTATTAAAATTATCCTCTTTCTAAATAAATAAATAAACTTCTCCGATGCCTTAAATTTACAGTATAACCTGCCGAAGTGCAACTCGATATTTTTAATTTTTTTTTGGTACAACAGAATTTATAAAATTATTTTATAATTCAATTTTTATGGTATTTTACAACATTTCAAAACTAAGTGAAAATGATTCTTGTTGGACATTATTAATTATAAAAACTATTTAAAGTAGCGTTGCATTCCGACAGGTCCGATTGTAATCGTTTTTGAGAAAACATAAGATTGTAATCTTGAATCGATGAATGTATTTTATATTATGTATTAAGGATGAGAGTAATGATTTTCTTTAAGTTAAGGTATCCTGTTATAAAGCATTAAGTGTTCATTTTAAACTTCCACTGGTAAAATGGATAGGTTAAACAAAATTAGTGATATACTTAATTTAAGGTGGATCTTTACTGTTTTTGTATGTGTGATTTTGAAAACATGCATGAGATAAATTTTTTTCTTTAACACAGATGATTAACAAACAAATAAACAAAAATCAAATTGTTATTCAAAGCTCACATTCAACTATTGTTCTACGATAAAACTACAAATTTAAATATAAAAGAAAAACATTTATCACATGAAGTATTTATGCGTTTCCTGAAAGACATGAAACTTATGTCATAACCCAAGTTCATTTTCATTGCGACTTGTTTTCGGGGACGAAAAACGGAATTTCCACGGTGGTTTGTTACGCCACATTATCGTAACAAAAATTTTACAAAATTTTATATTTTATTTATCATTAATTAAAAGTAATTAATGAAATGCATGCTTAGCATTTTGAAATCGCGCAGAAAATGAACTCGGTTCAAAGACCGTAAGCCTTTTCTTCCGTCTGAAAGTACTATTTCAGCAATTAAATTGTTTTATTTTCATGACTTTCAGGTAAATCAATTAATGAAGGGCTATCATTTTTATTATTTTTATGATTCAAGAAACAACAACTACATAAGCAAATGAGTGTGTGTGTATACGTGTATATATATATATATATATATGTTGCCTATTTTATTTAAAATAAAATGTAAAGGAAAAATTATTAACTATATTAGAATTAAAATAATAAAATACAATATATATATGTATATATATATATATATATATACACGAAGAATAGACGTGAGGCTACACTCAACGCGTTGAGTGAAGACTTCCCGCGCTCCCCACGCTCCCCTTGACATTGTGCGAGAGAGAAAGAAGATTGTGTATAGCATCGAAGCGTTCTCTCTCAGGCATATTGTTCTTACAGAGTATTGCGTACTCTTTCTGTCCTGTAGCTCTTTCTCCCTCTTACCAATGGCGAATACCATTGTAATCGTCTTTTAAAAATTAAAATGCATCTTTTAATTCTTTAAATCTTTAAATACAGGGTGAATGATGGCCCAACCTTAATTAAAAATATTTATACAATTAACAATTATACGATATATAAAGATGGGAACGTTTAGGCTATTATTATTATTAATTCTATTATTATTTCTTTTCTTTCAAAAATATAATTTATCTCTCGTTTCCCTGTACCAACCTAGCTTATAAACCTTGCCCGCCATAAATTGCAAACTTGCGGAAGATTCCAATGCACATTAAAATAATTATTGACAAATGATTTAACGTTGGAATTGTAACAACCTTTTTTTAGGGTTACAAAATAGAATGGAATTTCTATTTTGAAATGTCCATTATTTCCAACTTACATTAATCCTATTTTAAGAGATTAATTAAAAAAAAATAAAATAAATAAATAAACAAATTAAAAATTGTTTCAATAATTAAAAGAATATTAAAAAGAAAATATTCTTTCTAAGAATACAAGAAAAAGGAATTTATTTCAACATAGTGCAATGAACCGATTCCACAAAATGCAAGTTCAGCAATTTTGGCATGGCAACAGGACCAACGCCCTGTCCCCACCTTTCCATATTTCTTAAGGAAGTAAAACTATATAAGCTCATTAATTAGATATCTAAATTGTTCAGTTCGGTTGCCGCGACCCCCAGAGGCTAGACTCTGGCATCGGTGTAAAAGAAATTTCTTAAATCCTATAACGTTCCCGTCCGATACCGAGGATCCGAATTAATTGTGTGCTTACACGAATAATTCGGTCGGACGAAAATAAAAATACAAATTACTCCGAAGTCCACGGAGGCCATTTTCAAAATTTGAGAACAGTACGGTTTCCCACAGCACAGAGACTTGAACTCTGTCGGATTAAAATTTTTTTAAATTTCCTATAACGTTCCCGTCCGGTATACAGGATCCAAATTGATTGTATGCTTATACAAGCAATTTGGCCGGACGTAAAATAAAATTTTAAACACCTCGAAATCCGCGGGGTCGTCTCAAAAATTAAAATAGTGGGGAAATAAATTTAATAAAAATCCTTTCTTGTCAAAAGACCGGCCGGTTTCGGTTGTTGCCGCGTCCGCCCTGTTTTAATGGTTTGAGGAATTAACTTAGGAAATTGATTAAAGAAAATAGGGCCATCTCAAAAGCCCACGGTGTTTAAATATATTAATAATTATAATATATTTAATTACAAAATATTTTCTGTTTATAACAATTTTTCAAGGACAATAAATAGTGCGTATTGTGAAATCTTCGCCCGTCGGCAGAAATTCTGGCGGTAGACTTAAGGTTCCAGAACGGGTAAGTAATTGTATCGTTCTGGTTAGTTTTACCCCATCCTCCTTTCTTTTATTGTTTGAGAGGCGGATGGATCCTTTCTTAATTTACAATAATAAATCATAACTATTATTCTTAATTTTCTTTCTATTAATTTCTTATATTCTCCTTACCCCCCCCCCCTCCTTAATTAATTTCTGAATTTTCGGCAACTAGGAAACACGAATCCCAGTAAGATAAACAGAGCTCACGCTCTGGCAGTTTGAATTCCTCCAACAAACTGGAAAATAGGGCCATCTCAAAAGCCCAAAATAATCATTATAGTTAAATCAACTATATTAATTATTTAAATATTTTCTCGTTCGTAACACGTTGCAGCAATGTTGCGAAGCTAAAAGGCGACAAACAACATTGTAGCAACATAAGAAAAATTTTATTACGGAATGTTGCGGCAATGTTGCAAAGCAACATCAATTTAAATAGGATAATATGGGTAAATGGTATAATACAATATGGGTAAATAATATAATACAATATGGGAAATAATATAATATATTATATATATTATATTATAATATTATTATTATTATTGTTGTTATATTATTGCTGTATTATTATTATTGTATTATTATTATATTATGTATTATATGTTGCAGCAATGTTGCGAAGCTAAAAGGCGACAAACAACATTGTAGCAACATAAGAAAAATTGTATTACGGAATGTTGCGGCAATGTTGCAAAGCAACATCAATTTAAATAGGATAATATGGGTAAATGGTATAATACAATATGGGTAAATAATATAATACAATATGGGAAATAATATAATATATTATATATTATATTATAATATTATTATTATTATTATTGTTATATTATTGCTGTATTATTATTATTGTATTATTATTATATTATGTATTATATGTTTCGCAATGTTGCGAAGCTAAAAGGCGACAAACAACATTGTAGCAACATAAGAAAAATTTTATTACGGAATGTTGCGGCAATGTTGCAAAGCAACATCAATTTAAATAGGATAATATGGGTAAATGGTATAATACAATATGGGTAAATAATATAATACAATATGGGAAATAATATAATATATTATATATATTATATTATAATATTATTATTATTATTGTTGTTATATTATTGCTGTATTATTATTATTGTATTATTATTATATTATGTATTATATGTTGCAGCAATGTTGCGAAGCTAAAAGGCGACAAACAACATTGTAGCAACATAAGAAAAATTTTATTACGGAATGTTGCGGCAATGTTGCAAAGCAACATCAATTTAAATAGGATAATATGGGTAAATGGTATAATACAATATGGGTAAATAATATAATACAATATGGGAAATAATATAATATATTATATATATTATATTATAATATTATTATTATTATTGTTGTTATATTATTGCTGTATTATTATTGTATTATATTATGTATTATGTGTGCATTGTGTGTATGTTGTATATTATGTTAATTGTAGCAATATTGCGAAGCCAAAAAGGGCGAAACGGTGTTCATCATCGATATACATGTGTTAGAGCGGCTACTATGGCGCATACACGCGTGGCCTGCCGGCACATCATATACACCGACACTCCCGTGGACTCCGCTCGCTATAGTAACACACACGAGAACTCAGCTGCAGTGTAGGAGTGCCGGCACTCTCACAGGTCTCCCTTCGCTACGAGACTCACACGACTAAACGAAGTCCCGTGCTAATGCACCAACACATGCATATCTATGCTAGCCTCCACTCAATGCTTCCTTACCCAAAGAAACCTCCCCTTCCCCTCCGCGCCCACAAGATTGGTTTGCAGCATCACAACAAACGCACGTGCGTTTGACAGGAACTAAGACGGGATACTTAATGCAACACCCGTGCTTAGTTTAAACAAATTTGAATATTAGTAGATATCACTCCAAATATATTCAAATAAATAAGAAATATTAATTCCTTTTCTAAAAATATTAATTATGTCTTCTATGACAATACGATAATGAATTATTAATAATAATTATTAAAATATTCATCGAATATTATTATTTCCAAAAAGGATCAAATTTATTTTGTTTCCGTTCTCACGGAGCTGCCGTGAGAATTAAAAGATCAGCAGAAATGCAATGTCCAATGGGCCGCGGATCTTCCCCTACTCCCGATTTTTTTTACACCTCTTATCATTAGAATTATCCCACCTTGGTTCGAAGCAAGGACTAGAGGCTAGTCAAAATCTTTTAATCATAGCAGTACTACT